CACACACACACACACACACACACACACACACACACACACACACACACACTGGATCTCTTGTATTTAGTCAGATACGGCAACAATAAAAGGGCGTGGCTCCTTCCAAGGGCAGTCATCAGCGGCTGTTAAATAGCCTAGATCAGTGAAACGCACACACTGAAGGAAGCTGCGGTCAACAGACACACAGAATATGACTAGTGTTTGAGTGTGCCTTCAAAATAAAAGCCTTTAGAGTCACGTTCAAAATGACCCATGTTTTTTTCTGGTTGCTTAATCCGGCTGAATGTCTCTTTGCTGGGTTCAATGTCAACTTTTCAGGAACCAAGAATCAAAGTGCTTTTATTTCTAATTTTAGTTCTCTACATCTACGTGAGCATGAGTCAGTTTAAAAAGCCCAGGAGCTATTTCATTTCATGCATGTAGTCCCTGAAATTAAATTAAAACATGAAAATCTACATTAGAGTTTTTCATGCAGCATGATACACAGAGCATGAATTAATCAGGCAAAACATTGTTGTTGGGCCTCCATTGACTGTTCAGCCTCACTTCCTTCCTTCCTGTGCATTTTGTATTTTACTTTATTGTCATATTGCCAAGTAAGGACAGTGCACAGTTAACTATATGGCAGCTTCAGACCCTCAGAAATCAACCTTTACTCTGATGCCGGAATAACAACAACTCAGCCTAATTCCGGACATCTGAATCATCACATTTGTTCAGTGATTCAAGTGAAACAAAACAGAAGCTAAATGAAATGACAAATTAGTACAGTACCTGAGGTTAATGCGTGTCAGTTTGTGGTATTTTCCTTAAACACAACTTCATTTAAGAATATATACCAAGGTTTTAAAACTCTATTTTGATTCAGTTCCCCTCAAGAAAGGCCCACAAAATAAACTAATAATGCAGGACCTGCTTTAGTTGGTATTGTACTTTAATGGTGCAAAATCCCTAACACATGTATAATTATTTGATAATAATAAAGGTAAACACAAGAAGACACCCTCAAATGTTATAACAATGGCAAAACTCTCTCAGGAATCTCAGGAATGTTCCCGGATGTAATTTGGTACTAATCATGGGGAAATTGAATTGATATTTAATTTGGTTTAAATTGATCAGTTCTTTGAATTAAATCCATCTAGAAATCAACAAGCTGCACGAACAAGCTATGTCTGAATACTGTCTTTGTACCAAATTGTGTAGTTATCTCCAGAAAAATGATCAAAAAATTAACTGTTGAGCAACAACTAGAGAAACCGAAAGAGAGAGCCTCAGTCACCGAACTGCGATCAAATAACCTTTACTCTGAAAGCATAAACCGGAAGAGTCATTTCCTTCTGATTCTCTCTGACTTGTCGGTGGACAGCAGAGCAAAGGTAGGCTCCAGCAGCACAGTGCGTCGGGCGGAGAGATGGAGGCAGAGCTGGCCGGCTGTGAGCGCGTGTAAACCGGACAGGAGCGGATCGGATGAAGAGGGAATAAAAGCCGTGTTTGATCCTCAATAGAAAAACACGCTCACGGCAAAAAACACAGGATCCTCTCAGAGACACCAGCGTCATGAAACCCGTCCTGCATTGAGGTGAGAGCCGCTGCTGCGTGTTATTGTTTCTTATTCTGCGCGTCTGGACCAGCTTGAATTGAGTGATTAGACATCTTGCAGAGTCCTTTTTCGTGCGCAGGTGGTATCAAGAGAAGGAGGCGAGTAACAACAACAAACCTCCAGGTGAGGAGGAGAGGAGGCTGCTGCTGTGTTTTGGTGTTAAACCCGGTTCTTCATCCCCATGCACAGTCAGCCCCCCCGCGATGAATCCTGCGTTGACAATCGGCTTTTTGATGGCAGAGAACAAGTGCAATAGGCTCGTTTTTTAGGTGTTGAACACAGAGACTCGAGTGCACGAGGCGTCCCGGACTTTACGAGGGTCGCGGTGTAAAGGGGGCTTTTCCGATAATCCTTTTAATAGTCTTTAGGGAATAAAGTCTGGTCAATCTCAGGGTGGCTCAGGGGGGCCTGATGTGATCTGATGTATAGGCCCGCTTGAGATGATCCAAAAATCGGTGTTCCGACTCGAGACTCCGCAGGCAACCTCCCATTCATCTCCTGCGTTCTGGACCTGGAGCTGTCAGCCATTCAGCAGGAGGCTGCGGCCGATTCTCATTCATGAAGTCTAGTACGCAGCCTGCACAGCGACCCACCGTGGGCTGTAAATAGGCTCTCTGGGCCCGCAGTAGGCCTGATTCAGGCCTGCTATTGACTTTCTCTCGTGTGTCTCTTTATTGGCTACACGAGACAGTCAGTAAATATGAAGTCTAATAAGCCTGATTATTGTAGGACGCAGGCCTGCTATTATAGGCCTTTACATCACTGTCACGTATAATACTCTGCTTCTCTGGTACTATGTTGGGATTTTATAGTCACCAAATCAAAGAACATTGTTGTTCTTATTCTATAACTAAATTATATTTCTATTTATCACAGATGTTGTTTTGTTGTGATATTTCAGCAGCATCACTCTAAAATCTGATTTTTTTTTCTCACAAAAATGCAACAGTATCTTCACTAAAAGTTAAGCTTTTCAGAGCTGGCCCCAGCTCATACAGTATGCCAACATATACTCTGACAGAAAAATCAGCTTAGTGGCATTGCATTATACCCTGAAGTATAATGCAATGCCACTGTCACTGTGATATTCTGATGATACTCCGACAATGTTATGATTTTATAGGGACCTAAACAAAGGCACAGGTGTATTTATTTCAATCGCCAAGACTATATGTTGCATGGGGTGGACAGAATAACAAGAACACCCTACAGTATAATGCAATCTTATATAACATACACATGTGTTATGTAGGCCTTGATGTCAGTGTGATGTCCTGATGTTAGTCTTTTAAGGCCACATTATGCCTCTGACGCTATGTTATGAGTTTTAGTGATCTAATGGAAGGCAGTGGTTTGCCCTCAGTATTTCAATTACATTCAAAAGAGCGAGTTTACAAACATTAATACACACAAACAATTAATTCACACCTAAAAATGTCTTAAAAGTACAAATTATGAGAATGTCAGAAAATAATGAATCCAGAGCTGGTCAACAAAATCCAACACATGCTAAAAAGTGCAAAAAGTCATGTTACATAGAGTCATACATCCACCCTCAGTTTTGATTATCAGGCTGTTTTTTGCATCAGCGTCACTCGGCGTCACTGCATTAAAAAACACTGAAACCCATCTGTTCCAGTAACTCACACACTTGATGCTCACACAGGTTGTGCAGTATTTCTCCTCTGCGAGAGGCCTGTGGTCATCTGTGAAATTAGTTAGACCCGGTGGGTGAGAGACAGGAAATGGCAGTCGGTGGCGGAATGCGCGTCTCCCACGCGCTCCGTCCTTTATCACTGGCTGCCATATGGATGCCTGAGCTCACTCAATATTTACGTTGTCGCTGCTCACAGAGAAACCAGGAGAGAGAGAGAGAGAGCGAGGAGAGCCTGCTGGTACAGAGGACACGCTTATTTATTTGTTTGTATGTGCATGATGAGGCCCTGCTACCTATATTGTGAAGTAGTGAAAAACCCACAAGCAAACTGGTGAACACTGGTCAGTTTGTTTGTGTCTCCATCTTGGCATCACATCTGGTTTATTATCAATGGTTGCATCTGTCTGCGTCTACACACACAGGCACGCACGCACACACACACACACACACACACACACACACACACACAGACACACAGCTTTACGCAGCCGGGTGTATCAGTGTCTGGATCAGGAGTGTCTACCTTTCATAAGGCAGACACTCCTGTGTTCTGTCGGGACTGATACAAACTCTCCAGACAACATTAAGGTCGAATCACAGAGGGACAAGGTTATCAGGGGTCAGGTCAAAGGTCACTGACCGGCTGCTCTGAAGTGAGCAGATCTAAATGACGGAAAAGAAAAGGGGTCTATCACTGCTGACCCCTACTTCTGGTCTTCCTCCTACTGCCACGTCTGATCCCCTTCACTCACCCTATCTCCTCTCCTGTCTCCTCTGCTTTTCCTTACACTTACACCGTCCTTTCTTTTTGTTCAGTGTTAAAGCTGGTTTACAGTTTCCTTCTCTCTCCTTTTTTTTTGCGGTCTTCACACACTCACACACACACACACACACCTGGATGTCTCCTGTAATATTCTGCCTTTTGACTTGTGAGGCAGTTTTCCCTCCTGTGTCACTGTCTGCTTTTCTTTCTGTCCTCCTTCAGCATGTTTGTGCTCTGGCACCTGCGTTTGTGCTACAAATTTATTTCTATAGTTAGTCATTAATTGGATGTTTCTTACAGTCCTGGTTGTTTATGTCAACATAGCAAAGACCCAGTACTTAAAAAGGACTAGATTAGATTAGAGTAGATTATAACATTTCATATCCATACCATACTTTGGGTTAATAACTCAACAGTAATACAATAATAACACTAACACTGGGTCAAAACAGCCCCTTGTGTTGGTAAATGGGTGCATTCATCAAAGGTTTTTCTTTACGGTTCAGCCTCTCATTCACACACACTTATACATCGAAGACAGCGAGCTTCCCTGGAAGGTGCTGGGTAAAAAATCTCCCATTAATGAGTTGGTTCTATATCGGCCCAGTTATTTTCATTAACAATTCATCTGCTGATCATTTAGTTTACTATCATATGAGACACAGAAAAGGCATCAAATCCTCACAGCTGAGAAGTTGGAAGTGTTTGGTATCGTTTCAGTTGTGTGATAAATAAAACTGACAAACATTTACTGGTTCTACTTTCTCAAATGTGAGCATTTGCTGCTTTCTCAGGTTGATGCTGCTTTTGTCTCATTTTAAAGGGAATATCTTTGGTTTTTGGGCTGTTGATTTGAAAGGTATCACTGTTGGCTCTCAGAACTTGTGATCGACCTTATTCAATTTCTTTTGACATTTTATAAAATAAACAAAAAATAATCGCCACACCAATCGGCCCTAATTACCAAAGTTGTTTCAAATAGGTCTGCAGCTAACGATAATTTTCTTCATCGATTAATCCAGAGAAGCCGACACTGTTTCAAATTTTTTCGGATCAATATTTCTAAATGTGAAAATATTCTATTTAGGATCATATAAAATAGAGAAAAACAGGAAATCCTCACCTGTGAGGTTCTAGAACCAGAATAATTAATTTTTATATTACTTCAACTATTATTTCATTACCAACATTTTCTGTCTGAGAAACTAACAAATGATCAATGGACAACTAACTCACTTCATTCCTTTACTTGTTATACATATAAAAGAGTTGTTTTGCTGTTGTTTTATGTCCCGCGTGTGTGACAAACATGACATATCGTATGTCCGCGAATGTCGTCAATCCACATCTAGCTGCTGCAATATCTACATCGTTTATAAGGGCACACGATGAAGATGTTGTGTACGTACAGTACATAGCTGTACGACACCGAGAGTGCTGCTAGCTGTGTGCTGTGTCTAATCTTAGAAAACATGGCAGGGCCCAAACTCCCCGGCGGTGGGGGAGCACAACATCACCAATCATCCTCATCAGCCAATCACAGAGGGCGTTCTGCTGGCATGAAGCTGCTCTCAGCAATGAGTGTGTTTGGATATAGGAGTCTGTTAAACTACATATACAGTGTTTATCTGTCCGTGAGTGCACGGAGGTATGTGTACACACAGCTTTAAAAACACAAATCTTTGTACATCCGTTATGCTTGGCTGCAGTATCATTTCCTCTCGACCCACAACACCACAGTTTTAATCAGGCATATGTCCTTCTTGGCTCTGCACAGTTCAGTCCTGTGAGGGCCTCGCAAAGTACATGAAGTGGACGTATCTTGTAAGATGTGTTTTGCAGGCTGCAGTTGATAGCTTCTCCCTGCACAGTAATGTTACTTTCCTCTCCTCCGCAGTCACTTTACTGTTGCAGACAGAACTCCCAACCATCTGACAGAGATATCAGCCGTGCTCCCCTGGGTACATAAGCAGCAAGAGGAGGAGGAGGAGGAGGAGGAGGAGGGGGCACAGTAGTGGTTAGATTTGTACAACAGATAAGGAAGAGATACAGGAGGGTGGGGGGCCTTGTAAAGCCTGAAGGATGGAGGTGAACATTTTTAAATTCCCCTCGACTCCCCTCAATCTTGGTTTTTTTTTCTACTTCAGGTCTATCAATGGAGCTAAAAAAGGCCGAAAGGAGTCGTGGGGATGTGAGAGTCCACATGGTGCCTCCGCTCCCCCTCGTCCTACAGTGTGTCTCCCCTCGTCTCCTCCACCTCCACACACTCACTGATTGTTTTAGCAGCTGGCCTATGGAGAAAAACATGCCCCCCTCCAGTGGGGGGAAAATATTCAGATCCTTTACTTCAGTAAAAGTACAAAAAAACGACAATGTAAAAGTAAAAGACTGTCAACCAAAATCCTACTTATAATGTACAGAAGTATCAAAGATGACATGCATACACTTAAATAAGCTACAATCTATATTATTATATAATAACAATGTATCAATGTATGTATGCTGCTCATAGTAATGAACATAAGGAGGATTATCACCTGAATCTGGAGCTCCTCTCGGCTTTACAGAGCGTCATAGTGAGATTCAGCTCAATGTTTGGCTGCCCAACCCGTAACTTTACTATTTTGGTGCACTCTTGTTTTCGGCTTCAGCAGGCAGCTGTTTTTAGTGAAAAAGCTTGAAATACCCACTGTACAGTATACTACGTGCTCAACACCATACAGCTGACAGACACAGTTGTAGAGGAGCATTTAGCAGCAAGAGCTAAATCTCCCTCGGGCCAAAAACAGAGCGACAAAGGAGAGTGAATTTAGGACTTCGACCGATCAGGTGGACAGAAACACGACTTTCAATGAATGTCAATGTTGCTTAATAACTGCTGAATGTGTAAATAAGCAGCTGTCTGTTAATAAGTTCAACATGTAAACCTGAAGAACAACTCAACACCAGTATGAAAAGAAGCTCCCTGCTGCCCCCTCTGGTTGAAGGTTTCCCAGCATCACTGGTAGACCGAGGTGTGGTCAGAAGTGTGTGTAACCTGCTAACAACTCATAGACATCAAGTGACAAGTACCTTAAAATTGTACTTAGGTACAATACAGTGCTTGAGTAAATGTACTTTCCACCACTGCCCCCCCTCTTTGGCCTCAACCAATCATTTGTTACTCCTGTGTGCTTTGCAGCATGTAGTCTGCTTCAGTGTGCTAAGCCTCAGAAAGCCGTAGTGCTGTGTCCACTTCCTCCATCGTTTCATGGCTTAAGTTTCATGCTGACTCGGTGAGTGTGGGGGGGGGGGGGGCGCGGCATACAGTCAGTATCCTTGAGAGAGGCACATCCTCATCTTTGCAGAAGAACAGGAGTTTTTAAAATGCACCTCACTGTGTGTTGTTCTTCTGCTGAATGAGTGGAAAGTTGGCCCAGTGCTGGCTTTTAAATAGCTGAATGGGTATTGACTTCTTCGCAGCAGTACACACACACTTCAACACAGACACACACAAACACACACACACACACACTCAAAGGGGGAGCGAGATCATTATTACAACAATACTCTATGTGGTTAGTAGTTTAGTTTACAAATCTGGTGTAACGTGAAGGGATGAATGGATGGATGTTTGGATGAATGAAGTGATGGATTCATGAATGAAAGTGGAAAGTGATTTTAGCTTTATCAACTCTGTTCCACTTTCTAATAACTATATGAAATGCTTCTAAGTTGTAACTAACGACTTTATTAGTGGTATTTAAAACAGTTACTTGAGTAGTTGTAAGTTGTAACAACACGTTTTGGGTTGCCATGTTGTGAAAAATTGCTTTAGTTGATGTTTCTTCTTTCTATTTTGTAATAAATCAGATATAAATGTTGGTAATCATGCAGTTTACACCAGGCTCTGCAGCTCTTTTAAGGATTTTCAAAGGTAAATACTTAAATCCTATAAAGTCAGTGTTATTTCAAATTTATAATTTTGGTTAAACTTCATTATCTCTGCTGCTTATAAGATGCTTCCATAGTGGTCACACTGTCCAACCACTTGGCAACCCAAACATTGCTATTAATGATTTCTAACTGATTTCTTTAGTAAATAATTGCCATTAATACAGTTATTATGAACAGCTTAATTAGCTGTTGTGATGATCACATCTTTCTTTCTTTTGTTGAGTTTGTCACCGTCACAAATTCAAACATCTTGTCTCGTTCTGTTTGCTTCACGAGTCTCTGAAACCTGTCGAGATGTATTTCTGTCACCAGGCGGCAGGTTATGAAAGCGCTCCCATCTCGGGACCTTTGGCTGGGATTCAGCCCTGGTGGCAGAACAACAACAACCACACAGCACTGCTGTGCCTCCAATCAAAACAGCTTAGTTTTAGACCCCCGACCACCCACTTCTGCACAGTAGGTGAAATAAGATGAAGCCAAATTACCACAGTTTTGGCACTTCATATTCCTCTGGGACATCCACGCATTTCTTTTGCTGTTCTTTTCATTATTCTTCTCTTATCCCACCCTTTCCTTTCGTTTCTAGTGTCTGTATCCGTCAGAGCATTCCTCTGAAATTCTGACACCGGTATACGAGATGGTCTTTCAAAGAGCTGGGACTCCTGTGTACTTCCCCTTATCATTATCCTCTCTCTGATCTGGCATGTTGTTTCTTTCAGATCTGTGGGAGAGCGAAAGAGGGAATGAAAGAGCGAGATTGGCTTGTAGTTAAATGTGTGTCAGCCTTGTTTTTTTTTGTGCTAATCCTTTATGAAAAGACGACCCACACAGACGCGTTTTGAAAATGACAATAAAGCTGCTTGCAGTAAAAAAAATCCCAGGGAACTTTGCCGTGCAAACGTGTGTGATTTGGTTATTGCAGAAAGCAAACATTTGAGCGCACATTGTGAACGAACTGCCAAGAGAAGCATCGGTAGCTCTGAGAATAAGCTTTCACAGCTTGGGGAGTGTTTGCCATTCCCGTGCGTATGCTACCCAGCCTGCCCACTCAGACGATATCCTTTTATCTGCGTGATTTACAGACAATAATAATCAAACCACCGTGTGTTTGATTGTGCGACGCCATTCACTGATAGATTGTATTAGTCACTGATGTGTTGAAGTGAAGAAAGAGAGGGCGGAGCGGGGTGAAAACTGGCTTTGGATGTTGCTACTGACACAATGGTGGTAAAAACCAGAGAGAAGAGTGTTATCAGTGATGTGATGTGGTTTGGCACCGATCGGGCCAGAGAGGGAGGCAGTGCTGAGGACTGAGTCATACGAACACACACACACACACACACACACACACACACACACACACACACACGCATGCTGGGGAGCAGAGGAATGTAAGGACGAGTGGATGAGAGATCTTAGAGAAACACTCATTAGGTAGAAAAACAACAGTGAGTGAGATCGATGGCCCATGAAGAGGAGCTGCGAGTTGCTGCTGCGACACAACTCGCTTCTACATAATTCAGATAATCTGAGTGCTTGTCAGAAACCTCTAACTGGTAACTGATTGGGACCCGAGCTTTCCGGATGATTTCTCTTTCATCTCTCGTCACATTGAATCTGTTGATGAACTGTTTACAACCTTCAAGGACTTGTCGATCCGGTGTATAATCTTCAGCTGTCACAAGTTCTGGACTCTTTGTGCTTGTTGTCACCAGGGGCTGTAGTTACCACTGAGGACAATGAGGTCATGGATTCAGAGATTTTAGGAGAATTTGAGGGTTTTAGAGACCAGGAGGGAGTTTATAGTCTCAATAGGCTGGTTCCAGGAGTTTTTTTAGACTCAATATATTTAGTTTTGAGAACTTTTAGGCCATTGTAGTAATATTTTCCACATGTATCTTCACATTTTGGTGATTTTAAACTTGTGTTTTTTGTGTTTCTTTATGGTTTGAGAAAATTATCCAAACCAAATGCAAACACTTCATTGTCACAAAGATGAAAACAAGCTTGTTTTACTTTGCTCAGTAATTGGAGATGCATGGTTGCCACAGGACCGTGACTGAACAATGAACTCAATTAATAAAATGTTGCAAGATAATCAAGAATATTATACATTTTTTGGGTCACATTTTTCTTGGGGTGGGGCACTTGGATCCGAATCCTGAATGCTGTCCTGATTATCACTTTCAAAGATGTTAATTTGCACAATATGATTGGATATGGGAATATGGAAAATGTGAAACTAATTAATTTTGAAAAAAAAGTTTTGCATGTTTTTATTCATAAGCCAATGTCACAGAAAATCTGCAAAGAAGAACTTAGTTTTTATATCAAGATGTAGATATTATAAAGACAGACAGACACAGGCTGGTTCAGCAGTCTGCTTCATTCACACATCTTTTAGCCAGGAGTTACACACATACACACTGAAGTCTTTTCCTCCACACTAACACTATGCTCCTCTTCCTCCTCTCCAGCCTCTCCTCGGTGGGTTGTCATGGCCAAGTGATGAACGGAGCGGTGGTGCCCGGTAGCCCGGAGCTCTCCTCCTCGTGCCCACTGCCAGACTGGCGAGAGTTCTGTGAGCTCCATGCGCGAGCCTCCGCTGCAGACTTCGCGGACAAGTTCCAGCGCTTCCTGTCGGAGAATCCGTGCTACGACTCGCCCGGCGCAGATGCCAGCTTCTCACAGCACTTTGCCCACCACTTCCTGGAGTGCTTCTCGGCAGCGCTGACCCAGGCCCGGGAGAGCCAGGCATCCTCGCCGGGGGAGGACGGCTCCAACGCAGCACCCAAGTACAGCATCGTTCCTTTCCTGGGAATCCAGGGCTGCCCGCTGTCCTACGGTCACGACCTTTACCAGAGACGCAAGGACGCCGGGGCTTCAAGTGAATCCCTGGACAGCATGGACAGTGGAGGGGGAGGGATAGATGGGGGAGGCAATGGCACCACTGCCTCCCGAGGCCCCCAGCCAACCCACAAGGTGTCTGCTTTGGGACAGTCGCGCAGCTCAGAGGACGTGTCGGTCAGTCACCCAAAGGCTCGCTTCAAGAAGGGCTTCTCCCTGAGGAACATGAGCCTCTGTGTGGTGGACGGGGTGAAAGAGATGTGGCACAGACGGGCCTCCCCTGAACCCGATGGTCCCTCTGGAGCCAGGAGGGCTAACGGGGGAGGAGTGGGAGGAGGAGGAGTAGGAGGAGGAGCAGCAGGAGGGGAGGCTGCAGGGGGAGAGAAATGGTCCCAAAAGCTGCGGCTCCCCAGGGGTTCCCAGGGCCACAAGGCTGAGATGCTGGAGATCCAGAGGGAGGGAGCTCTGAGATACATGGTGGCTGATGACACAAACTGTATGGGCGCTGCACAGTGGCAGAAGTGCCGCCTGCTGCTGAGGAAGACGAAGAGGGAGGAAGGGAGTGAGAAGTTCCTGCTGGAGTTCTACGTACCACCCAAGGTACACAAACACACGCAGACAAGGAGGAGAATTAGGCAGAAAAAGTGGATCTAGTGCTGAAATGATTAGTTAGCCACTGTTAAAAAGCAGATGGACAAGTGCATTTTCAGCTTTTCTAGACAAGTCTAATTATGCATTAGAATTAAAGATTGATTGAAAAATATAATCAATATGTTAATAATTCATTAAATTTGCATTCCTTCGTGCATCCCAGATATATACGTAGCCTGAAAACCCCTCTGACCCCAAGTGAAGTCGAACCACTCGCGTGAATGCACACTTCACATTTTTCTATATGGGATTTCCAGATCATTGCCCCTGACCTTAAGAAGGCCATGAGGTTGTGCAGCTGAGTGTGTGTGGCTCTGCCACTGTCCTTTGATCATGGCTGGTGGGAACGTGGGGATAAGCCTGTGCAGAGGGGGAGAGGGGGGAGGACAGGTGGGAGGCAGGTGTGGGAGGGGGCGAAGGAGAGAACTGGAGACTGTGAGAGAGAGAGAGAGAGAGAGAGAGAGAGAGAGAGAGAGAGAGAGAGAGAGAGAGAGAGAGAGAGAGAGAGAGAGAGAGAGAGAGAGAGAGAGAGAGA